TATTATTATTAAAAGAAATAAAATATATAAATTTTAATTGTTTTATTATCTAAATAAATATTTTCAAATTTGATTAGTTAATATATTAAAAATACATTTAGAGAGAATATTTATATATATATAATTTAAAAAATAACTTGCATTTAGAGAATATAGAACATGCATTTATTTTATAAGTTCCAACTTGAGACTAGGCTATTTTTATGCATATAGAGAGAATATGCACTTAGAAGACATGCACTTAGAGAAAGTTGACTGTATATTTTTTTTTTAATTCTTTGACAGGTCTTGTTGTGACTCGAACTCTTAGTTTGTAGTACATATAAACTATATACATAATTTCTAAAACTAAATAAAAGTCCAACTCTGCCTGATTATCTAATAATTACCTGGGCGCAACCTATCGCACTGGCTTATAGATAAGCTAGAAATAGACTCTTTTATAAGCTTGTCCAAAAGGAGTTTACACCCTTTTGTATTCAGTTACCTACTACATCATACTATACATTATACTTCTCCTTATACTTTACAAATATTTTAACTTCTTCTCTTTTAGATTTTTCTTTACAAATAGTTGGAGTATTCTTCTTTGGCCGTACTTCTTTGGTCTTCTTAATTCTTTTATCCTTCTTCTTTATATTATAATTCTTTTTCCAATTGACAATCTTGATATATCTGTCTTTCCAAATAAAATATATGCATAGCAAGTTCCGTAATATAGGATGTCATTTTTGATGAAATTCAAAAATTCAAGATTCTATTAAATGAGTCTATCGTAGTTAGGCCTTTAATTCATAGCTTTCTGTTTTCTTGCCTATCAAAGTCTGTCTTCCTAATTAGAATCTTAAACAAGAGATTTTTCAGACATTTCTTCTTTCGTAAATTTGGACTATATCAGATCCAGAGTTGTAGTCTCGATACTTTGCTATATTAATTTATAGTGATCGCATTCAGCTAGGTAGTCCTGGGTCTCTACTATGCCAATGTTGCATGCTAAACATTTACTATTTGTATAAATATCTGGTCTTCATATTGCCAATGTTTTAAGGACTGGTAAACTTTCTGAAAGACACTTCAATTGTGTAGCTAGCTTTTTACTTTTCTTTAATGTATTACATTTCGCACCTTTAAGCTTTTTTAATCTTTTCTAATATGAGAACCAGTCCAATGTGGGCTTGTTTGAATCAGGTTCTAAGATTAGAATTGAGCTCGTTAGTCTCCAATTCGTACCATTCCAAATTTCAAAAATCTTTTTAAGAAAAGGCCTAGTTGCTTTTTTGACTTTATATTCTTCCCAAAAAAGAGAAAAAGAGATTCTTGTATTAAGGTCCAAATGAATATTTGTTGAGTGCGTTAAAGAAGTAGTTTTTTTTGCAAGTGTATCTGCTCTATCATTCTATTTGTTGTCGCTGTGGCCTTTAATTTTTTAAGTTCCAGATTGATCTTTTTTGCTTTGATAAGATCTGCAATTTTGATTAAAATGTCCTAGTTTTTTCCCTTAAAAATTTTATTGAATCTCTATTTACTTTTGATCTTGTCTATATTGAAGATTGCTGCTGCACTATCTGAGTAAATGCAAATATCGCTAATCATTGGAATCGTAAAAAGAGCAAGCCAAATTGCGATGAGCTCGGGCTTTGTTGATGAAGACCAATTTTTTACCTTTGTCATACCCTCTCATAATGACCGTTCTTGTTTTTTATCTACATGTACCCAACCAATACCTATACTGCAACTATTTATACCTCGAACTAATGAACCATTTGTGTATATCCAAAAACTATTCATAAACTATTATTTAAACTACTATCTAACTCTATATTAAAATTTTGATCTGTTATTAATTGTTTATCTAAAGATTTCATGTTTTGTATACTAACAAACAAACTCTCTTCCTTACTTGGTTTTATTATTTTTTGTCTACTCTTACTACTGGTTAGGATATCTTTATATCTTAAAATATACTTTCAATTATCTTTTTCTAATAGCTTTGGAATTACTATTAAAACGTTACTCTGGCTCATCCAACAAAGTTGACTGTATATTATATTATATACAATATATATATTAAATAATATTTTTAATTTTTATATATATTTGGAGAACATTTAAAGTAAAGATAAATCATGTCAATCAAATTTAAAATTTGAGTCACTTTAGAATAAGGTTATAAGAAATTTTAAACAATTGTATATATGCAAAATTGCCTTTCTGACATTTTTACAAAGTAGATTAAGGCTACTGTTTTTTTATTTTTAAAATTTTTCATTTTTCTTTTCATTAGCCTTGCTAACAATCATCAAATTTCTATGATTTGATTGGTGGTTAATCATGTGATTTATCTCTGTTTTAGATGACACCATTTGTTCAAAACCAATTAAATTTGGTTTTGGTTTTGGATAAGATTTTAGATAGGTTTTGAACACAGTGTCCAAAAACCAAAATTGTTCAATTGACAATACTGGCTTAAGCCGTAACTAACTAAAAACTTATAGTGCAACTACAGTAGTTACAACAAATCATTGAGATAATTCTATTATATCACTAAGTTATTGGCAATTTTTTTAATTGTTTTAGGATTTATAATAATAGCTAAAAGATCTTTTTTTATATATAGTGATTATTAAAACCATATAGCTTATTTTGAATAAACTAATTTATAGACCAGTTTTATGGACCAACCCTAAATAGGAATAGCAAAGTTCTTGAGTCTGGAACTTTAGAACCTGGTCTTGAGATCTATTTTTTAAAGACTAGGTCTTAATTTTAGAACCCAGGTTTATAGGTTCACAATAGGTCCTAATATAAAATAATATTTTATAATCTTATACTGTATCTGGATAATAGTAGACATCAACCAATTTTGATTGGCTAAAAAGTATTATAGCTGAGTTTAAGTATTTAGTTCTAGACCAAACTTGATAGAATTATTCATTATTTTATATAGGCACTATCCAAAGTTGCTAGCAAATTTATCAAAGCTAAGCTCTAGGACTTATCATATGAAAACCTGGTCTGAAAGTCTGTGTAACAGGACTTACAAAGGTAGGACCAGTCTTTAGAACCAAGACCGGACCAGAACAGACTATAAATCCCTAGGTGAGGTACTTGAGACATCCTTTAGTTTGCTAAAAGATTATTGCCAATTTTGATTTTAGCTTTTATAATTAATTTTTATATTGTTAAATTATTTGAATTTATATATATCAAAAGTATAATACAAAAATTTATAATTTGATTGGCCAAATGTCATGTGATTATATACCAATTTAGTGCTACATAATGTCCAATGGACTGAACATGGGTGGTCCAATAGACATGTTCCAATACTGACTATACATATAATATATACGTACGTATAAATACAGTAAATTATTTATATATAGTAATTTATAACGCACTAAATTACACTAATATATACATAAATGTTTCTTTAAAATTTGAATTACAAATTGCTATGGATTGCAAAATAAAAAGGTCTGCAAATCAGTACTATATTAAGACTTTAACATGTAGTTAATATTTCGATATCAACCAATCAAATTAAAAGCCCATTATACTCCATGGAAATTTTTTGGTTTACTTTCTTGAGTATCGCATAACAATACAAAATGAAGAATAGAAAGTTGTTTCGAAAAGAATGGCAGTAAAACCTGCAAGAATACCACCAACAATAAAAAAATATAATTTTCAGTATCTAAATAAAGATTTTAAAAAAAAGGATCATAGTAAAAATGCAATACAGAATTCATCCAAGAATGTGATCTATTTTATAAAGAAGAAAATGTTCATCAAAGACATTTCGATATGTATAAGATAACATGACATATTAAGAGGAAAGATTAATTTTATCATTTTGATCTATCAGGCAGGCATTAAAAAAAAGTGGATTTTTTCAGAAATTGAAAAGTAATTAACATTTCTGAAAACAGTTTCTAAAGTTACATTATAGCAAAATCAATCAAAGAAATTATTTGTTTTAGAAATTATCGATTTTCAACTTTTTCTGCCAAATTGTTCAGCACTTGTTGATATAGTATGCTACAGAATTGGAAGCATCGAAAAATCCTGCACATTACAATATCAATTTGCATTAATGTTGCTTTTTAAGAACTTATTTCAGATGAATTGGAAATAGTCATTGACAGCAAATTAATAATATATGTAAAACATTAAAGATAATAGGAAAAATATATGCATATAATCCTATTTTTTCTCAAGTTGATACTGAAGTTTTGACTCATTATAATATTGAATTAATTAAAATCAACGAGGTATGTTCAAAAACTCCTATTGCCCTAAATGGTAATATTACCGTGCAAATTTGATCTAATAGAATCTACTTGACATAATAAAAAAGGCGAAACACATTGTCATTAATCAAATTTTATTTTATATACCACATTGTCCACTCGGATTATATAATAATTTGATCAAGGCCAGTTGGGACAGAATAAAACTAAAAGATATTATTATCATTAGAAATCAATTTGATTTTTATAATGAAAGGTATATCCATCATATAGTTTGCACTAATATTAAAAATAAAATAACAATTATTCGATATTTGTCAAGAATGACTATAGCTTCTCTCGAACGCAAAGCACCTTATATAATACCAATATTCTTCTTTATAATCACAGCTTGTATGTTAGTCTCAAATAATGATATTTCATCTCCTTATCCAGTTCTTGTGTCTTTTACGCTTTAAAGATTCTCAAAATTCATCTTTTCCCTTCGACTACTATTCAATCTCCTGCGATACCAGACAATACATTTAACGACTTATGTTGGCAATAGTTTCCAATTGACAGAATAGATTTGTATAAAGAAGATAGTGAATTTTGGATCTTGAAACGAGAATAGAATGAAGATCAAGAAATTATCTAGTCCATATCTAATATAAACATCCATATATATTTTATATCAATATGTGAAAAATCAATTCATTGATCATATATTCTAGTAGAGTTGTATCTGTACAAGCTCTTCTGAAATTAATGGGTAGATAATAATAATAATAATAAAAATAATAATAATAATAATAATAATAATAAACAGACTGTATCTGGATGAAGAGCCCACTTGGATTCAAGCTCTAGTTCAACTCAGCCGAACAATGGTTATACAAACTGTAGATAAAACTAGAAATGCTGATAAAATTTAAGGATTTATTAATCGGTTTTTAAATAGCTAAATATACATAACATTCCCTAGTAGGTGATTCAGAATTAACTCATTCTATTAATTCTGGATCAACATTTATTAATTTCATTAATAATAGTAGTGAAATTAGTTTATCAGCATCTTTAGATCAAACTGCAGTTCAAGCCATGGTTTAAACTCTAACTTGGAAGCTGTATTTTAAGCTAAGGCTCTTTGATATTGTGTTTCTATGATTTTAATAATTTGAACTACATGAAATAGTTTAATTTCATAACCATGCTTAGCTAGCTAGTAAATATAGTCAGAAAATATAATATTCACATAATTGTTACAAGCTGAATTACTTTTCATTGATTCTACCAAACCTTATACTCCCTTACCATCAATTCAATGCAATTAATTAGTTTTTTATTATCAATGTCTTTACTATTAACAGCATTCTTAAGTGCTAACCCTATCACTATAGACTGTTTATCATTTGGATTCTCATTTGCTATTATAGTAGCAATATGTAATGCATACAATTAATATAAAGAAGAAAATCCACTAAGTAAAAAGTTAATGTTAGTGATAATGCTTATAGAAAATGATGACAGCGACTTTGAAGAAACTAAGTCAAATGTTATATAAGCCTACAAATGTCTCAGTGCTATATTAATAATAATAAGAATCAATTATCATTTATCCATAAATAAAAAATATTATCTTGTTTACCAAATTTCCGACTTTTCCATATTGTGTAATTATTACAAAAATTTTATTTCGAAAACTTATAATTAATGTTTTAGTATTAGCATATAAATAGTAAGGAAACCCATTAGGGTTAGAGGGCCAATAGAGGTAGTTAGGACCAGATGGTTTAAATGGGTACCCCCTAGTTGGGGTGCAGGTACGGCAAATAGTGTAGAACCTTTGGGCAAACTATTTAAATAGGCACTCAAAAGGTGCACGTGTAGCTTGATATACCATCATTGTAATTATATATAAAACTCCATCTATACTCTAATAAAAAGTTCTCCAGACCAAAGAGGTCACCTTAATACCAAAAAAAATTAATGTTTTAGTATATATATCATTGATCACTTGCACTGCTTGTTTTGTTTGTAAAGAAAACTTCATAAATTGTTTTGAAGAAATAACATCTGTATTCATTTTAAGCACTTGTTATTAGCAAAAAAAGAAGCCTGCCAGATTGGAAGATCGTCTAAAAACCAGGTGTGATCACATGATACAAGGCTCAGTCAAACACCTCGGAAGATTGGATCGATCAGTTTTATGTAACTCTATGTATATCCATTTAATTTCATAAAAATTAATTTTTTTAGAACTTTGAATAAAGATGTCTTAAAAACTATTTAAGAAATTCAATGAACTTTTTTTTATTTTAATAGTTATACAAATTCATAGATTTAAATTAAAAAAAATTCATTAAATTTGCTTAGATGGTTGCAGAGATATCTTCATTCAAAGTTGGGTGAAGAATTAAATACTTATGAAAAAGAAGCAGGAATAAAACTTTGAGCAAAGATATCTCAGAAACTACTTAAGAAATTTCAATGAACTTTTTTTTTATTTTAATTTTATAGCCATGTAGGATTAAAATAAAAAAAGGTTTATCCAATTTGCTTAGATGGTTGCCAAGATATCTTCATTCAAAGTTGGATGAAAAATTGAATCACCTATAAAAAAGAAGCAAAAATAAAATATTTTAAAACTTTAAGTGAAGATATCTCTACAGCTACTTGAAAAAATTAAATGAACTTTTTTTTATTTTAAAGTTTTAGCAAAATTTTATTCTTTTAAAAATAAAGTACCAACAATAATTCTATAGTCTTGTAGAGTTAAAATAAAAAAATTCATCTAATTTGCTTAAATAATACCAAAATATTTTCATTCAAAGTTTAAAAAAGGCAAGAATAAATGTCTTTGCATAATCTAAATAATAGAACCAATTACTTATAACTCTAGTCAAATTTGCAAATTATTTTGCCAAACCCTGATTTTTTCTATTTTAAATCTAGCCAAACAATTTGCAAATTTGGCCAGAATTATAAGTAATCAGTTCTACTATTTATTTAAATTTCTAAAAAATCAAACCATATAAATATTTAAAACTTTGAGTAAAAATATCTTCACAATCACTTAAGAGAATTCAATAAACTTTTTTTAATTTTAATTCTATAGGCTTGTAGAATTAAAATAAAAAAAAGTTTATCTAATTTGTTTAAATAGTTTCTATTTAAAATTAATTAGTAATCCATAAGTTAACCAGAGAGTGATCATAATAAAATGTACTGTAATTCAAATTATTTATAGAAATTGGGGGTTTGTAAATATGGTGTGCATGAATCTAAAACTTTTTTTTATACTAAGTTAATCACTCTTCTAACTTAAGAGACTTTTGTAGAGCTTGTCAAGACACATCTAATAGTAGTTGGAACATCAAAATTAGCCCAGTGGGTGCCAAGATATTTTTAAAAAATATTTCTTTTACTATGTAAATTTCTTTGCAAATAATACTATTGTTTGCAAAAAAGTTTATATAGTAAAAGAAATATTTTTTAAAGATATATCAGCATCTACTAGACCAATTTTAATAATTTAGTATAAAAAAAAGTTTTAGATTCATGCACATCATATTTACAAACTTCCAATTTCTATAAGTAATTTAAATCATATTTTATTATAATCACTTTCTGGTTGACTCATAGATTACCAATTAATATATAAAATAATTTTTTTTAAAACTTTTTAAATAAACTTTAACCAATGTTTTTAAAAGCTTTTATTCAATTTAACTTTCAACAAAATCTTAGAAATATATTATTTATTGTTACAGATTAAAATGAAATCAGATTAAAATAAAACAGGGAACCTCTCTTGCTCTTCTTTAAAGTTTATAAAACCCACTTATACTCTTTTATTAATAAACCTAATACTAAACCCTAACCCAAACTCTAACCCTAACCCTAAAAAATGTCCCCCAAAATTTTTTAAATTGTCTCTAAAAAATATAAAAATTTCATTTTAATCTGATTTCATTTTAATCTGTCACATTTATTAAATTAATTATTGTTAGTTTAAAATTTTTGTTTTTATTTATCTTGCTACTTTTAAACTAATATTTTATTATTGTCCGAAGCAAAGTAAGGACTATATTTTTACTTCAAATCATACAATATCCATTGATACTACCTAATTAATTTATCATATTAAATTACACTACATAATTCTACATATTTCTCAAAATAATATATATAATATATATAAAAATATATAATTTTTAGATAATAAGACAACTCGCCAAAGACATGATAATAGTGATTTGACAATTATTTAATTTTAAATGAATTTATCAAGGTAATTTATTTAATATATTATTTAAGTTATATTGAAATCCTATAGAATAATATTTACAAAAGTGAAATTTTAATACTTTTATAGCTTTAACTATATTAATAAATTCAAGTGGCTTACAATAAGAATTTTAATATAATAAAGAAAGCTTTGTTTCTACAATATTTCATATTGTAGCTACTTTTAACTTCTATCTTGATTTTTGGTTTTCTCTTTTCTTTTTTACAAATATTTGTTTTTTGGTTCTTGTATTCAGTTATTTATCTCCTTTAGCCAATAAGCCTCAACTGATAAACCAGTATTTCTTGTTTTGATTACTTTTCAATCATGGGTTTACTAAACCAATTTTGTTAATCTATCTTTAGCTTGAAACATTTATCTAGATTTATTTTATATATACTATATATAAATAACTAATTTAAAACTAAAATACTATAGGTTGCAGATAATTAGCTTTAGCTTTTAGTCTGAGCTCCCATTCTTGCATGTAATTTATAAATACTTGTTATTAT